GGTTTCCACTGAGGGTCCTCTGGTTTGACTCTGTCCTGTGTGTGCCCATCTGTGTGTTTCCACAGCGACAGTGCGGAGAGAGAAGAGACATTACACGACAACACAGCACAGCTGCTGGCCATGGTGCTGTACGAGCCCGATCTCTTCATCACCAGGTGAGACAGGAGTCACAAAGAATCACTTTTACAGACTCCTGCCGGTCCACTTTTCTGTGATCCTCTGCTCCTGCCTGTCCACGTGACTGTGATCTTCTGCTCCTGCCTGTCCACTTTTCTGTGATCCTCTGCTCCTGCCTGTCCACTTTTCTGTGATCCTCTGCTCCTGCCTGTCCACCTGACTGTGATCCTCTGCTCCTGCCTGTCCACCTGTCTATCTGACAGGGTAAGGATGAAACCTGTGAATGTTATCAGTAACAGAATGATCATCTGTCTCCCTCACAGCGACTCCAACCTGAACCGCTACGAGGTCCATCCCACACGCACACCCTCTGAGGGCATCGGCCCCGAGTTTCACACCAACTTCAAGGTACGTCCTCACACACAGCTGCCTGGGTCAGGAGCCCAGAGGGTCTGTCAGGGTGTCTCAGTCTGTGTACAGGGGTGAAGCAGACAAGAGCTTTACCATCTCTCCCACGATTCACCACAGTCTTGCCTCATGTTCCCAGATTTCCTCTGCTTCCTGTCTCGCCTGCAGGTGCAGAACCTGGGCTGCTACCCGGTCAGCAACCTGGAGCTGCGCGTTCGGCTGCCCTCGCTGGCCGCGGCGGACGGCCCCTTCCTCTCCGTCTCCGAGGTCACCACGCAGAACGTGAGTGCGGCCCCCCCGAGCCCCGCCGAGCCCCGCCGAGCCCCGCCCCCGAGCTCCCTGCAGGCGAGCCGGGACTGAGCGCTGCCCCTGTCCCCGCAGGTGTCCGGAGTGAACTGCAGCGTGCTCAGCGACCCGCGGGCCCTGAGGCAGGCGCAGCGCGATGTCCGGCCAGTCCACCCCGGGGACCTGCAGCACGCGGAGCAGCTGGTGAGACAGGGCTGCCCTCCCCAGCATGCACTGCTGTGTGCCAGGAGTGTCAGCGTGCCAGCGGCTTGACAACACTCTCACAGCCTC